AATGCTAATTTGCATAATTTATTAACTATAAACACAGGTCTTTCCTCTTTAGAACACCAATGTTTTCAACTTAACGGCGAAAAAGTCGCATGATATGTATTTTTCAATATAAAAATCCGCTCTTCAGTTTTATTTTATGATTTGTAACAAGTTCTCAGATCCCAAATTTACCTGTTGGTCGGATCGCGTTATCTCTGATTTCGATCAAAATGGCGAATATTTGTGAAATTTGCAAAGCTCTGTGCGGCGCGCCATGAAGAGTGCCCAAAAGTTTTATTCCATAATTTACTTATTAGGTATAAGTGCTTATATGCTGTAATAGATTTGACTCTAGATCACGTCCCACATAAGAGAAAATAGCTTTCAACCACATGTACCTCACGCATCACAAATTTCAGTGCTCGAGGTAAGTATTTTGAAAAATTTGTAACTCAGTGAAAAATATATACAGTGTAATCATTTGACCGTTAACGTAGTGGCAAAAGGTTGATCTTAGACATATAAGATAGAAAGCTTTTTAGAGTTGAAACTACGGCTTCAGCAGCGATCGACTTTTGTAGCTAAATTATGGAGGTCGGGGGGGGAAACTGGGTGCCTTTGACGTCACCTTGAAAAATATCTCGTAAAAATGAAAAAACCGGACTGATTCAAAATAAACGCAATATTTGTACATGGGATAGAAGTATCGACTTTCACAGTAAAAATCAGGGAAATCGGTGAAGGTCCGAAATTTGCCTTATCCGTTCTTAGGTGGGCAGCCTCTTAAATACTCAGAAAGACTCTATTCGCGCAAAAACTCTTTACGTGACTCTGCGTGCGAATATATGACTCTGCTTGTGAATTCTTTTTTATTTACATATTTTCAATTTTGTTATCCGTGTCTTTTAGGAATTCTTTTACACTTATATTAGTTCTCATTTCACTCATTATTGACTTCACAATATGGAGCTTAAGCAACCACGACGTGGTTTGCTTTTTCCTTTTTTTTGCTCCAAACTGGAAAGAAAGAAAAACCGGATGTCCTGAAACCTACCTTTACAATATCCAAACTGCTATTCAATAAAGACGCTTTTAACACGTTCAAAAGTGTAAGAGACTTAGCTTTCGAGTACTTCGAATATAAGATCAATTCAAGATCTCAGGAAACATCCATCATCACTATGGCGACAGGGTCTACCTAGACTGTGACGTGTGGACTTATCATTCTATTGTGATTCTCTAAGACATTGGGTAGTAAGGCTGGACAGAGTATGATCTAATGACATAACCGCGACTTTCCCATACCACAGCTCAGTGGCAGAGCTATCATTTGTTTTCGATTTGCTTCGTTGCCTTGTTGAAATATTAACGCGGTGAGAGCTCTTGGAAATAACGATAAAAATTATTGGTCTTTTACTGCGTGACTCTTATGGACTCATATGATATGTGCTTGTGGCAAAAAGATAATCTGATGCCCTGAGGGCTAACGGTAATCAAAAGGACAATCCGCCGACAGGGCTGAATAATGAANAGAGACTTAGCTTTCGAGTACTTCGAATATAAGATCAATTCAAGATCTCAGGAAACATCCATCATCACTATGGCGACAGGGTCTACCTAGACTGTGACGTGTGGACTTATCATTCTATTGTGATTCTCTAAGAC